TAAGACTAATGACATGTTGTCTTCCATGTTGAACTTCTACTTGCTCTTAGATAAATGCAAATGAGTATAACGACGACTTAATACGCGATTAATCAAAGAACGAACTTTTTGATGAAAATATATAATTCCGAACCCCGTGAAGCCTATAGTTAAGGAAATCACCAATTCAAAAAACGAGAAGTCCATTATTTTTAACATTGCCGTTCAGTTCTAAAATGAATATGTTATGTGATTATTATTTATTAAATACTGTCAGGTCACAATAATTAATTAACGGAAGAAAGAATATCTCCCCTTGTGGCTACCGTTATCGGTACAGAGTTATAACAAGTCTCTCAGAAGCTTGTCAGTTTCGAGTAGGATGATATCTTTCCTGCACCCGACAATCTTCAACAATAGTCATTCATCACTTTAGTTATGAGAAAATTAGACTTCTGGATCCGGCTAGGCACAGCTTTTTTCCCAATGGCTTGAGCACCCATACACAATTATTAATCACGTACAAGTTTACTAGGAAGCGAGAGAAACTATTTTGTGCGTTACAACCATACGTGGTAGAATATATGTATCTAGTGTAAAGTCGATGCATCCAGATGAATCCGTTTTATAGTTCCTTCTATAATCTAATAAATCTCTCAAATCTATGGTATTACGTGATTTTTGTCAGAAGTAGAGAAGCCATAACTAGCGACAAACGATAGGAAAAATGAAAGATTTTTATTTCGATCTGAGCTAGATGTAAAGATGCAAGACGTATGTACGTTCGACGTTAAGAGGAAGGAGATAAGAGAAAGACAAGAAACACGGAAAACAAAACCCGTGCGCGTACGGATTCGAACCGCAGACGGTACGTTTATAAATCGTACATATTGATACTACACATGCATGTTACCCGAGACTTAGAGTAAGGTCTTAATGTGGAATGACAGCCTTGCTATAGAACCTTAGAACTGAATAAATTGAATTTCTGAGAAATTGAGAAAATAAGAATCATATGTAAGGGTGGGGAGAGTGAGAGTGAAGTCAGCACCATCTTTTACATCGTCGATCTTTATATCTATACATATTCAGTCTTTCAATCTCTACATCTACAGAAAAATACAGAAAGAAGAGAAGAAAGTAGAAAAGAAAGTAGAAAAGAGAGATTTATATATTTAATAGAATGTTCGAGTTTATACATAATAAACTGGATATTTTGCCACCCCTCGTTACAACGCAGAAATATGCCGTTGAGTGAACAGGCCAATGTATGTAGAGATGAGTAACTTACATAAGAGTAACTACTACGAGGTTCGAACACTGTACAGTTGAAGTACGTGACGAATAACAACCGATAAATCACGATAGGAATTAATTAAAGAGAAACATTAGTTAATCTTTCGCCAGTGCACAGTTTCATGAAAATTCCTCGCACTATTAAGGGCCCCCATTAGGAAACAGCTTTTTTATCTTACATCCCATTTCGATGGTGCTTACAGTGACTAATGCTTACTGTCCAACCAGCTTATGCTAAAAATTCGAGATCGAAACGTTGAAGTGCTGCCGAGTTATTGCGTGGCGAGGGGCAAAATGATTCTTAGCAAAAACGCTAAGGCTTTTTTGTTGGAAGGTGCAGAAAGCTGCGGGTAGTCTCAAATGGAAGTAGACACCTAAATCTAAAGTTTTTCCGTAGGGATTTCTGAATTCCGCTTCCGTTCATTCCGTACACGTATTTTAAGTTAGAACTGTAAAAATAAAATCGGAGGGAATTTTTCGCTTTTCTCGGCACAGAAAATGAAATTCAAAAATCGTTAAAAATCGTGACAATGTGATTTGGATAAATGTCTTAGCTCCAAAATAAAAAAAGAATGAAGGTTTTACAATCGTCTGGGAGGAGATATAATTTTGCTGCGCCAAAACCATATTCTAAGCAATGATGTCATCACTTTATTAATTATAATTCAGTGCCTTTAACAAAACTAGTATAACTCTGCCAGATGAAGTCGTACAAACCTGCGGGACATCTCATTTTCATCAGAACATTCTGCTCAACATAGTTCCATATCTGCTAAAACAGACATCTTACAAATTTTAACTGAAATGTGAAATTTAGAAAAAGATAATTTTTAGGGCTTTCAGAAATCTTTTTCAAAAATTTCTAAGAATTTTTGGCAAATTGAGATGAATTCTGAACGATGACATTTTGGGATACTGAGCCTTATGGTTACTTCAGTTTCGAAGAAAAATCGAATTCCTGAGAGGGAGGGCCCCATTAAACCGAAAGATTGTTGGTTTTTAGATGTATTAGATAAAATATCGTTGATATTTACTAGGTGTTACAAAAAAAGATCATTTTGCTTGTCTAGCTGCTACGAACTTTGTTAGATCTTCATTAGCTTTTTTGCATATGTTTTTGGAAAAAAATCAAGGTGAACAAATGTTTATGAAAGTCGAAAATAGAAGAACAAAAAGAAGATAACAGTGAAAAATATATCAGTTAACGAGTTGAAAAGAAGCATTATGTTTTTTTAACGTTTGCATAAAAAACAACAGCGATAAAAATAAAATAAAATATAGAGGACAAATGATATGAAGTCACATAATGTTTAATGCACGGTTCCATAGGAAAAAAATGAGAGAAAAAAAATTCGTTTAAAATGTTTTTGATACATATCTAACGAATTTCTTTCTTTTTTCTGTTCTATCACTGTAAAACGAATAACATATGTACAGAGAGTTGATCATAAACAGAAAAAGAAAATGACAAGAAGAGAAAAGCCAAAGTCGTAACAAGAAAAACACGTTAAAAACACAGTGAAATTGGCGATACTACGCTCTATAAACTACTCTAAAGAAAGAACAAAAAAACTGTTTTTTGGGAATATAATCATGATCATTCACCGATAATTATCTGAAAAGAAATACGTGATAAAAGAACTTAGATAGAAATATAAGCAAGAAAATAACAACAACAACAACAACAAAGTCAAGGCAATAAACATAGCTCAATCTTAAAAGATAACTCAACATGAGTAATTTTGCACCACTTCTGAAGAAACACAGTGACTTAGATATATATAATAAATAAATTTAGTTTTGCATTTATATGATGAATGGACGGATAGCAGTTACATGTAATCGACAATCACGGGTAGGAAAAAAGATTCCATGTTTTTTACTGTCCCAAAAACCAACGTCTTTTGAAAATAGTTATAACAGTAACAGAAAAAAAGAAATTTTGAATGCGTTATCCTAAAGAGCAAACCACGTTAGTCAAATTACAACGTGTATTTCATCCTTTCATACGCTAACATTAGCTTATGAAAGAACAATGCGAGATTGAGACATTCCGTTTTGATTGCTCTGACTTGAAGGTAATGCAGTCTCATTTTTGTCATAAAAAAAAGCGATAAAGCAAAAAAGCGTTATTTTACTTAAAGATACGGCGAAAAAGAAATAATCTATAATAAATGCAACATTCCAAAGGTGAAGAAAAAGTCTCTGACATAGTAGTTGTTTGAGGACATTTTACTTTGTTCATCCTTAGATGACAAGCAAAATTACAAGATCAACAAACATCAAAAGAGAAAAAGAAAACCAAAATATGGCTCTGAAATACACCTATCAATCATAATAGAAAAAGACAGGAGCAAAAGAAATGATCAAATTCTCTCGTAATATCACAAAGTCAACACATTTCAAGAAGAAAAAGAGTAACAGAACAATCTCGATTGTGATGTCTATATTTTACCGCGGAATAATATTTTAATCCCGATGTTTCACATTTAAATTTAATCGTTGTGTACGAAGATCTCTATTGTTCGGTGAATTTGTCTGCTCTGGGCGGTAGTTCAGCTTTGGACCTAAACATAGAACCAAAATAGCATAGCAAAAGAAGATCATAATAAAATAATATGCATAAACAACCTTCATAAAGTCTTGCTTCAAAACTATTCTTTAAATTTGACCGCTTAGCTTTTAATTGATACTTCATTTATATAATTTATCGATACATACCATAATGATTTAAATCCGATGAATAAGTGTCCGAGCAATCCGGACAATTGTACATAATGTGACCCAATTTACCACAAGCATAGCAATGCTTTCCTCTACTGTAACCATGCGGTCTATCATAATAATTCTGTGATAATGAATGATTATGTTGATAATTATTATATGAACGATAATGGTTATGTTCTGATGAGAAATTGTTCATATTTTTCGATTGAGAGAAAACCGCATGTGACGATACTGCTGATGGGTGTGGCATCGACGCAGATCCCATTGAAAATTGCATTTGTTGAGTTTGTACTAACATTTCAAGAAATTTTGGATTCTGATACATTCCTGGCGGTATCGGAAATGCTGGAACAAGACCATTTTCAGTATTGAGTAAAAACGCTGCTCCTTGTTGTGTATTTGGAACATGAAAAAATGCTTGTAACATCTGTTGAGAGAACTGTTGTTGTTGCTGTTGTTGTTGTTGTTGTTGCTGTTGACTGTTATTCGTGAGTGTTGTTGATGATGATGATGATGCACTGTTCATGACAGGATTTGGTGTTTGTGGTTGAGATTCATTTGTTGTTGTTGAAATTCCACTTGAAGATTGCGGTGAGGATAATGCTTGCATCTGATTTGTATGTGTTATTGCACTATTAGTTGATGAAGACGAATTTAGACGAGATTTCACTTTTGTAGTGGATAATGGCGATACTGTCGTCGTTGCTAATGAAAGTTCCGTATTATTCTTACGAATATGAATTGATTGAGCGGCGTTTGGAATCGGTACTGGGGCTGGTGATGGTGCGGGAGACAAATAGCGATCGCCATTTGGTGTTGTTGACTTTGAATCACTTAGCGATAGACGATTGTTTGAGACAAACTGCGAAGCAACTGGAGCCACTGAATAAAAATTGCCACTTGGTGGTGGTTGCATAGTCATCGATGGTAGAACAGGCACAGGACAATAAACATGTCGTTGCTCTTTGAAGTGGCGGAAGTTTTTTCTTTGTAATGGCTGATTTTTATCGTTATAATGATTGTGATGCTGCTCGTGTGGTCCATATCGATGATGCTGATGAAACTGTGGTTCTGACTGATAACCATTCGGCGGAAGACTAACAGCATTTCCTGGGTGACGTAATAAATGCTGTCCATGTGTAACAAATGGTGCAACAGGAAATGGTACTGGAGTTACAGGAACAGTGTGTAGTGCATTTCTTTGATCCTGATGAAGTTCATTTTGTAACACTAGAAAATGGAGTAGAGGTAAATGCATAAAAATCACATACGACATTGAAATATACCTTTATCATCCTCCGATGATGATTCAGTTCTGTTTGCCGTTTTAACTGTTTGTGTCGCAGATGGTGATGACTGTTCATTAAGTAAATCCATTGTATTTTGTTGCGAATTTAAATGAATGGGTAACTGAGCAGCATGAATCATTGAATTTGGCGTGAGAATACTTTTGAAAATATCTTCAAGTACTGATTGTACAAGTGGCGAAGATGTGCCAAAGTTTGGATAATTAAACGGTGAATATGTTTGACACATAGCTAACGGCCTTAGAAATAGCGACATCATCAACATCTTCTATTTGTAAAAATAATCTTGTCACTCACTTCAATTCTGCTAAAATAGTACATAATTCTTGAGCGACGTCTGGAGCAAGACCATCATGTTCCAAATCTGATTGTGTCAGTGCAAAAAGCTAAAACAAAAAATAAGTATAATGTATAGCTGTTTACCATTCACATAAAAATGTGCAACTTGTGAGAGCTTATTTAGTTCCAAAAAAGATAATATCAAAACTAACTTCCAGACTATTACTAAGAAACAAGTCAAGTAGTTTTAATTGACAAACTAAGCCCGAAGTTGTATACGATAAGATCTCTTATCGCAGTAGATACGTCAGGCTTGGGTAGAATACAGAATTCCACACCTTTCAGTCTGTGAGACTTTCTTATAATGAGAGTCAATTGTTTCCTACAACCTTCAGATACCAAGTAACACACATAAAACTATAGAGAAGGTTCATTCATACTTGCTCTTGATTAAATCGTCTTAAATAATCTTGATTATCAACAATAATTTGATAATTAAGTTTTTGTTCAAACATTTCTGTCTGTGTTTCAACTGATTTTGCCTCAATAAATGTTTGTGTTATTGCTACACTTTTTTTATCCAATTCATTTTGTTGATTATCATTATTACGTTCTAGAATTTACGATAATACATGTCAGAAATCAGAATCAAAACGCTTATCTTCCTATACTTACGTTGAACAACTATCGTTATTTCTGGTGAATTAAATGACAGTTTTTTCTCATTATAAGTATCATCGTTACTATTATTGTTGTTTGTATTCTTTTGTTTGGAATCGATTAGTTTTAACGATGAATTGAAAAACTTTGCTAATGTCTGAATTGTTGATATGTAGCTTGAGAAAAAAATTAGATTTCTAAAAGAAAAGGCAAAAATATTATTTATCACAAGACAAATGCAGATTCGTACGATAAATAGGTTTCAATATTTGTTCTTATTTTGTCAATATAACCATTTTGTTGTGATGTTCCATTAATATTACGTAAATATGACGCAATATTGTGTAGTCGTTCAAAACGTGCGTCATCTTGATAAACAACATTCGTTAACTAAAGCCACACAAAAAAAGAGTGAAATATTATCTCTTTTATTTTCCGATTTCTTCATAATAAACTTACATGTAAATGAAACGTTTTTAAATCGTCTATTGTTTTCCAAACATGAGTAGAAACACTGTCGGTCCAATCAGCCTAATTAAGCACAACATAATCAAACTTGTATAAAAATAATACATAAAAAAGAGTTGCTTACTTTGATTTGAAACTGAAAAGTGTCAGTAACAAGGAATTGAACGACTGATACTTTGGTTAAAAGTGCTAAAATAGAGAGAAAAACAAAAATAGGTAAATTTGTTACTATTGTTTCAATGCACACATCCGTACGTGATGCATATAAATTAGGTATTCCTGCACTATTTGAATTTGACAATGGATAAAATGATGAATTGTTAAAGTCTATTGTTGATGACGATGATGTATCATTTGACAATTTTAAATAACGAAAACGTTTTTCTAATTCCTTGAGAATTTGTGACATTTCTGTACGCATTTCAAAACTAAATGCCGGATGATTTGCAGCTAATTGGAATATAATTAAAAATTCATCAGCTATATATTCATCAATTTCTTCTTTAGTTAATTTTTCATCAATCAATTTAATACAATCACACGATTTTAAACGTTTATAAATTTTTAATGCACATTCACGATTGTTTGTATGTAATAAAGCTAGTGAAAAAAAAACAATTAGATGTAACGCTGTTGAATAAAAAGGATGAAATAAGAACAAAGAGGAATTCAAATATGACAAGGAAAAAGAACAGAACAATCTTTGCGGTAAAACTAAACAAGAAATAAATCTCTTTTAAAATGAACTTTATCAATATACCTAAATCGACAATAGTAAACGCACGTTCACGTTGATCATTAAAATCAGCTATAGTTTCGCTTAACGCATCGTCATTGTTTGATACGGTACGTGATGTGGTTATAGGTATTGGCTGTGCATGTGTTAAATACTTAGTTGATGTTGAATTTGCTTTTGTTTCGGCTTCAAGTAAATAAAAATAATCTTTTCGTGCTACTTCTTCTAAGCATGATCCAATATATCTTAATTCAAGTGGAACACATAAATGTAGTAAACCATATAAAAATTCAATACGTTTTGAACCACGCAAATAATTGAACCAACGATGGACAGTTTCTTGTTGTAACATGATGATTATGACTGGTTTTTTAATAAAAGAAAAATATATGGTAATTTGTTGTTGTTGTATGAGTATTTTCTTAAATCATTAGAGACGATGTAAATTTTCTAATAATTTCGAATCTAAACATATATTTTAGTTTGATGTTTATTAGAATATTAAAATTTTTGGAAAGTATGCTAGTGTACACGATAAATGACAAAAAACACACAACTGGATCAAGAGAAAACAGGACTGGAGAAAACAAAATTTCATCGACCACAAACTAGTTCATCGGTTAAATTGACATTATATGAGTAACGCATATATTAGTCTCGCTGTTTTCCTCTCGGGAAGATGAAAAATAGTTTTTTTTCTCCCATATAAGCATAAAGCGACTGACTTAAACAGTCTTTAGTGGATGGTCTAAATTTAAGAGACAAGAATATAAACAAAAAAAATAGAATAAATAATAGATAGACAAAGTAGATATTTTAGTTTAGAGAATTTTGTGGTACCAAGCGCATAGTATAATAAAGAAAAGCGGAATCGAGAGAGCAATGCGATTGGAGACGTATTTATTTCCAATAAAATGTGTGTCGCTGTAGTATAGGTTCACTAACAATCGGCCAAAATTAACGGTGCTCGATTTTTTCGTTGATATATTATGCAGTAAAAGAAGGTTTTTCGTTGCGTTGGAAAATAAAAGTATTATCAAATTTGTTTTCGCGCTAATTTGTTAAATAAGAGAGGAAAAATAGTACAAGAATGAGGCGCTAGAATTATAATATTCCCCGGAGGGCAATCTTGAGCGAAAATTGATTGACCAAAGATTTTGAGAAAAAAAAGAAGTGAATTCCAGCGCTGAGGATTGAACTCAGGACTTAGGCCTCTAACTTCAGCTTACGAACATACCCAGGTCAAAGAATCTTGAAATATGATCTTGCAAGATCATATTACAAGACACCACAAGATTTCATAAGATCATATAAGAATTCATCAGATCCTACAATATTATGTCTCTGGTTCTGTGCTACCTAGGTCAAAGAATCTTGCTGTAAGATCTTATAAGATTCTTGTACGATTCCGTCCGATTTCGTAAGATTCTATAAGAAACATAGAAACTGATTCTTAATGCAAGATCTTATAGTAAGATTTCATCAGGATTTCGTAAGATTCTTGTATGATTTTTATAAGATTTTATAAGATGAATCCGTCTCTATGATTTTCCGTAAGATTTTATAAGATCGTGTAAGATCTTGATCTGATTTTTTAACCTGGGAAATTTTGTCATAAGAACTACATAGGTCGAACAATCTTATAAAATCTTATGTATCTTATGAAACCTTACAATAAGATCATAAAAACTGTCTCATCTTATAAAAATCATACAAGAATCTTACGAAATCTGATAAAATCTTACTATAAGGTCTTACATCAAGAATCAGTTCCTATGTTTCTTATAGAATCTTACGATTCTTGTATGATTTTTATAAGATTTTATAAGATGAATCCGTTATCTTATGGTTTTCCGTAAGATTTTATAAGATCGTGTAAGATCTTAATCTGATTTTTTGACCTGGGCCATAACAAAATTTCTCTGATAAGAATGAATCATCACTTCTTGTAAGATCTTATAACAAGAAATCTATGATCTTGTGATAATAGCTGAATATGAGTAAACACTCTTATTGGCAAGATCATATGGTTTGTTACCAAGATCTTGTAAGACGTCGTTCACTATTATAAGCTATTTGATACAACTGGAGATGACTTGTACTTTGATAAAAAAATTTGAAATTCATTTTACAGTATTTCATAACTTTTAAACGAACACCAATAAACAGATGCTATTTTCAGATCTTAGAGGTAAAAAATGATTCTCTATTCGAATAGCATAGGTTTTGAATGTTATTGATTTTTTTTGTTTTGTTTTTTCTATACTCTCTTCTCGCGGTTCTTATCTTTTCTGCGTGGTGGCACTGCATTTACAAGCCTTTGGTTTGTTTGTGCTTTCCTTTGTTACGAGATGTTTTCTTGGGCATAAAATAAAATTTCAAGTTCAAGTTCAAGTTGAAATGCATTGAGCCGGAGTTTAGAAAAACAGGAAGTTGTAGCCGAGATTCTCAAAATTTCAAACAAATATTTTCAGCTCGTCAATCGATAACTTTTTCCATGGAACTGTGGGTGAAACTAGTTTTGAAAACCGTTAATCAAGTTTTTGTCCATGATGATCAAGATCAGATTCTGCTACAATCAACTTCAAGATTATTTTTGATATATATACCCAGGTCCAAGGATTAGATAACAAGACCTTGGAAGATCTTACAAGATCATATACGATCTTGGGTGATCGTATAATAAGAAATCATAAGATTTCAAAAGATCTTATCAATTCTTATCAATTTCCTATAAGATCTTACAAGATTTCATATGACATC